TTTCCCCTTTGATTCGGAGAAACAAATATTTTTTCGGAGTAAAGGATGGTAGAAGACACTACACTACCCAGAATCCCCAGCTATCGTTTTGACTACACCATGTGCTCTGTTTGACAAACACAACACTGTTTGACACTAAGGTCAGAAGAGCTTTATTTAACAGCTGGTCTTATGTTTGTGACCCCTGTTGTTAATTGATAACATTACATTACATTAATTAATAAGCCTGAAACATGCACTTGGCAAGGTTCAGAGGCACATTTTGCAAATATGGCAGTAGCCATCGATCAGCTTAAGATAAGATATACTTTATTGATCCCAAGTTGGAACATTTGCGTTACATCAGCATGTGTAACAGTTGTAAATATGCAGTGGTGTTTATTTGTAAATCATTTAGTATAATCACACAAATTCTGTGTTTTATATTTAACAATTCTGTGTTCTTTATTTATTGATTGTTCAATACCTGACGAGGCCGGAGATGAAATATCTACATACATCTTATAAGAGTATAATACATATGTATAATATCAGTTAAAATAAGTGCTTCAACATATAGTTAACATTGCTGGAGGTATGCACAAATATTGATAGATGTCTTGTAATGCACTATTGAGGAACCTGCGACACAAGTTTTTCATTCAATGCATAACTACACCATAGTTGTGTGGGCCTATATGATATGTCAATAAACCTTAGAAAATCTTGAAATCTTGAAAGGGATGTGCAAAATAGTCATTATATACAGTCTTTAATTAACTATTAGTAGAGAATAACGAGTAATGAATATACTTTATAGGGATCCTATTAATATCTAATAATAAAAATAATGAAATTCAATAACATGCTTTAACCACTAGGTGTCCCTTTATATCAGCTGTGCACCTTTATGGTGTAAATACAGCCTATCTACCAATTGGATCAAATATAAAAGTCAGCCGAATTAGTGTTGATACTGCAAGGAGACGTATTGTGTGAAAAGAAATGTAAGATGTTGTTTAACTGCTGATATATTTATGATCCACCTCACGTTTTCAGTTCCTTATGTTTGTCTAGAAGTCTTCTCATCAGGGCTCTATAAAGAGAACTACGGCAGATATGTAATATTTAATGCAGCCGAACCGTGTATTACAATGCCGTTATGTGATGACTTTCAAAGAGAAAAGCAAGCACACTCGGAATAAAGTATTTATTTTTTTTTTTTTAAATGTTTTCGGTCTGTTTCCGGTATTTTTTAATGACGATGTGCTGTGATCGAATGGATCTGGCCCTTCCTACATCCAGGACATGGTTAAACCGTACACCCCAGCACGTGCACTCCGCTCTGCATCAACCAAACGACTCGCTGCACCATCGCTGCGAAGGGAACCCAAGTTCCCATCAGCAAAAACACGTGGGTTTGCTATCCTGGCTCCAAAATGGTGGAGTGAGCTTCCCATTGACATCAGGATAGCTTACACACCTTCCAGCGCAGACTGAAAACTCATCTCTTTCGACTCCACTTCGAGCGATAGAACTATTAACAAAGCACTTATATACTAATAAAGGGCTGGCTTATCTAAAGCCAGTTGAGTAGCACTTGAAATGTTTTGGCTCTATGAAGCCTGATGTACTTATATGATTCTGTTTTCTTCAAGTTTGTATTTTGTTGGTCGAACGCACTTATTGTAAGTCGCTTTGGATAAAAGCGTCAGCTAAATGTAATGTAGGCTAATGTGTGTGCACCACGACAAAGGAGCCTCATTCACTTTACATTGGGGTTGTTTGCGTGGTGCCGACACGTAAATGTAACAAAGTTAGTGACTCCACCACGCAATGTGGTGTTAAGGAGTCGTGGTGGAGTCACGCATTCTGGTGAGATCAGGTTGATTCTCATTCAGTAACGCCGTTATAGTTACTGTGATTTAAATGGGTGCGTTACTGCGTTACATTATGTGATCCAACTGAACCGAATCTCCCTGCGGATGTAACTTACAGGCGAATACAGTGATGTCCTCTCACAGTACCATGGAAAAGTGAAAGTGACCAGAGAGGAGTGATGATTGGTTAACGCGGGGTAACATTTCAGGGTAAGCCAATCAGAGACAGAGTTGGGCGGGTCTTGCCTTACGGGGAAAATACACATACACACACACACACACACACACACACACACACACACACACAGACAATGGCAGATGCAAGTATCAGCGAGAGCAGCAGCGCATTTACAACTTGGAGATATAACCACTATTTTCAATTTGTGGGGATAAAGGACGCAAAAAATATTACGGTCAAATGTAAACTGTGTGCAAGACAGAAAGCATTGTCCACTTGATTGTTGAGGCTACAATAAAGATGCCTGTCAAAATGTCTAAACATATCTTTTGTGTTTTATTGTTCCACTACATTTCATAATGGCAATTGCTACAATGATGGGGAGTTGTCTTTTCTCTTACTGTGCCACAGAACAACACAAAAACTTGTAGGCCTATTGTTATTATTTTTAAAGTAAAGTAACTTGTTACTAGTTACTTTTATAATTTAGTAAATAAAGTACCTTGTTACTTTTTTGAGAGCAGTAACTATTGCTATCACTAGTTACTTTTTAAAAGTAACTTGCCTAACACTGATAATGTTGAACTTCTTCGTATTTGTTGTTTTAGTTCACTCTTCATTTCTGAAACAAGACGCTCGGTTGGTGATAGGTCAAATGCTGAAGCCCCGCCCCTCGCATCCAGACTGAGGTTGCGGTCGGATAATACAAAAATCAGCTCCTAACGTCTAACCCTATCGTCTATTCCTTGACCTCTGAGTGAAACGTCATGGGTGTAAGGGATAGTGGATAGGAGAATTCAAAAGGACTTAGGAGAAGAGACTGCGGGGTTGCGTTCCGATAATCCAAAAATCAGCTCCTAAATTCTAACCCTATCACCTATTCCTTGACCTCTGTGTGAAACGTCACGGGGTTAAGGGATAGTGGATAGGAGAATTCAAAAGGACTTAGGAGCAGGGGCGGCGCCAGGGGGGAGCTAGGGGGTGCTGAAGCACCCCCCTGGATTGCCAAAGCACCCCCTAAGCACCCCCAAGAAATATGTGTTTTTTTTTGTTTTTAAAAAAAATATTATTATTATTTTTATTAAATTAGAAATATTATTGATTACATCAATGCATATGTGAAACAAACACATTTTGACCAAAAACATAAAGCCAACACAGGTGATATGATTAGGCCAATGGCCAGCACCCATTCGATTTTTGACCTACTCATAGGCTAAATTACTTTGTGACACTTGAGTGACTTCCTGTTAGCTAGAGCGCCAAATGATTTGCTAACAGCAATGTGAAAGATGGATCGTTTTTTAGTCCTTAAACGTCCACGTGTGGACACTCAATCAAAACCAACTGAAAGCGAGAGGGATTCTGCACATAATAGGCCTCGTGAATACAAGTAGCTAACCTCTGGGTCTCTGTGTTTCATTCAAGCCCTGCTCTGTGTGTGTGTGTGTGTGTGTGTGTGTGTGTGTGTGTGTGTGTGTGTGTGTGTGTGTGTGTGTGTGTGTGTGTGTGTGTGTGTGTGTGTGTGTGTGTGTGTGTGTGTGTGTGTGTGTGTGTTTGTGTGGCACGAGCCATTTTGTGTGCGTGCGTGCGCGAGCGAGAGAGCTCGCCTCGCGCACCAGTGGGTATCTACCGGAGATCGTTGTGGTTAGCATCTGGTGCTAGCTAGCCAAGCTAATGGATATAAGGAGCTTTTTCAACAACAAGGTGGAGGGAGAACTCTCTCCTGTCAGATTGAGAGTCTCAGATAACCTCAGCTCAGGTGAAGTAAAGGACTCTCAGTGTTTAGATAGTTAACTTTAGTCTAGTTATCTCAGTGGGTCTCAAACGGTTTGTTTTAAAAGGGGAGTGATTTGTAAAATATCTATAAAGAAATAGAAAATCTGTAGACAGTTCTGTTTCGTATGGGTGTTGAGAGATGTATCCATAGATCTCTTAATGTTGCTCTCAAAGTGCACCAGATTGATGCTTTTAACTTCAATATTTAACAAAAAATCTTCGCCTATATGCCGTGAGCTGATTATCGAGCCTTCATTGTAACAGTCGCGGGTGCACTGTGTGTGCGTGGGGAGTGTTGCAGTAGAACATTCAACTGTAGCGCTGGTGCATTAATGGGAAACCCTAAATGTTTGAGCACCCTCTATGAAACGTCAAGCTACCCCACAGCACCCCCTAGAGAAAATCTCTGGCGCCGCCACTGCTTAGGAGAAGAGACCGCGGTACTTTAGAGAATCCGAATGCACTTTCACTATCCGACGTGTTTATGATGCGCCAGCGGACGTCATGAATGTGCGTCTGCTGCTGTGGGGAAACTATGGAAACTACAGTTTTCTATACAGCGGACTACAACATGGATGTATAATAAGAACGAGGGACTACTGTAAACTCATCTAGAGACTCTGCACCGTGCTCTGATGCTGTTGTTTTATGCTTTATGAACGTGGACAACAGAGAAACATATTCTTCATGACCAAAGTTGGAATTGAAATAAAAAAGGAAAGTGAAACTTATGCTCGTCACCCTCTCCCTCCGGTCCACTTTAATACAAATGATCCCAAAGATTGTATGAACTATGAAAAGATCTTAAAATCAATACAAATGTATTTATTATAAACGTTAGTCCTTAACATCTATCACTGTGTATATCACCATTCAAAGATCTTTTAAAAGTTGAACAAACCCCACACAGCTCAGTGAAATGTTGACTTTATTTGATAATTTCAGTAAAAACTAACGTTCACATTTCTCTTTTTGATTATAATACTGATGAACGTTCAAAACAAAGCACTCTGGCAACTTACCACATACGTTTTAAAAAGCTTAATAAGCACCGTAACTTTCATGATATAATTTATCCGTCATAATCGTTTGTTTCCGTGAACGGCCGACTGTTGAGTGACGGCAAATGCTGCGGCTGCAAGGCATTGTGGGGCAGCATTTTCTCCTCTCCTTTCGGGAAGGGAGGTCCAGTGGTTCCTAAGCTAAAGGAGGTTATAAAGGAAGTTTGAAACCTCCTTTTCTATCATGTAGACTAGAGAATTCGAACGGCACTTATCATGGCTGCCACTGAGGGACTTCTGGGTCATTTCACTCGGTTAGGAAGGTTCCTAAGCTAAATGGACTATTCGACTTCAGCCCGAGAGGAAATCTCTGGGCTGACCTGATAACAAAGTCTCAGCACCGCCTACAGTGGGATCGCGGTTAGTTGAGCCAGAAAACACAAAGATATCCTGGGTATGTTGAACCGTTTTGTTTAGGACATCCAGTTCAGAATCCCTAAAAAACGTTCTAACTTTAACTTTAAGTTGCTCCTGCAAGGCACAGTGCTTCCTCACAATACACCATTTTGATCGTTTGCACATTCAACACACACCAAGGTAAGGTAAACATTTCCTGCATATTTCCTGCTGCAGAACGTCAGATTCTAACACTTCATATTTGTAATATATGATCATTTTAAATGGTAATAATGTCTAATGTATAGCATACTATGTTTCTTTTATAGATGAAGTATATTGGTATATGATAGTATATTGTAACCAGTGGCGTTTTTATATGTACAAAAGTGGTGGGGCACAAAAAACTTAGATGTCTATATATAAGCTTCTGCAGTGACGTGCAGTGAGGTTCATGGCTGGTGAGGCACTGGCACTGACACATTACAAATATTATATTTTGACCTAAATCAAAATATAATATTATTTTCAAAAGATTTTTTAGTCTGATGCTTCGATTAATTTTAAACAGACAGTTCAACAAAAGGATACCCAAAAAAATAAATTGTATCATTTAAATATTGTTCTCTCTTAGTAAGATCCCATTTTCAATACAATTGCGGACTTGAAGATGAAGTCCATTTGCCTATCCTTCTGGACAAAAATCTCTATTACTTTTTTGTAAAATTCCTCCTTATCTTCTTGTAGTTTCAACAGTCTATCATAAATATAATCGATAGATTTATGATTCGAAAATGATAAAAGTAGGGTAAACATATGGATATTATCGGGCTGAACAAAACGTGCATTTATCCAACAGGTACGTTTCCCACAGATCTTATTTTGAGCTATTTTCTAAAATCCTATGGAGAAATCTCGCAGCTTACTTCCGGGTTTTAGGACGCGTCACTGCAGCTCTCTCGTCTCCTCTTCACACTTTTCGCGGCACACGTACTTACAGCCAATCAGCTCTGAATTATGTGAGATGACGTATGGTGGGGAATGGCAGCTCAGTGACCCTATGGTCATTATTTTTTTTGCCACACACATTAAATAGGAAAATACTCTGAGCATGCGCAGTGTAGTTTTTACAGTCACCATTTACTTAGACAGTGAGAGGGAGGGGCAGGATCGAGTTTTGTCCAGTCTATGGTTTTGTCCCACATGGCTCTAAACAGCCCAATAGGCACACACTGTAGACACTAATTAGAAGAACACAGACTAAAACAGCAATGTACAGACGAATCAGATGATTAAACATGATCTTAAAATATATTTTATATATTCTTTTATTTATTTTTTTGTTATCATTATTTTTAATACTTTCTGCTGACACTAGGTGGGGCTGTGCCCTAATTACCAGTCGCCACTGATTGTAACATATTACTTTATACTGTATATTGTGTATTCTAGGAACTCTATAGATATCTTTCTACTCTTGATATGCATATTTTACTGTTTGTTTTACTCTTGTATATGCCTTGAAAACCTGCTGCTGCCACAACACATTTTCCCAGTTTTAAATCTATCTATGAGTGTATCTGTTTATGACTTTATTTAAGAATACATAACTACATACATGCGTTTATATATGATTTATTTGTGATATTGTCAAACACAGAAAGCATACATACATAGACCCTCACATGTACAATAAAGGGAGTAAAAGAGACCATTCTACCAGGGTCATCATACATGCTTTTAATTTTAGCTGTAGAATTGCATTAAGTCAGTGGTTCTCAAACTTTTTCTGTCAGGCCCCCCCTTTGGAGAAAAAAAAAAAGTCTGGCCCACCCAACACAAATAGTCACGTAATGGGCCAAGTTAACATTTATTAAAATACATCAATATGAACGTGAGCATTCCTTTGCTAGAACAGTGATAATAAAACAATGCTCCATAAGTCTGTGTGGTCAAAAAAACAAAAACATAATACAACAGTGCAATCCCTTTGAGAACAATAGGTTATAATACTTTGCAATCTGTGCAAAAAAATGAAAAGAAAGAAAATGCTGATATTATCGCAGCATTAGTGGCTGCAATGAGCGGCGCCAGAGATTTCTTTTGGGGGTGCTGTGGGGTAGCTTGACGTTTCATAGAGGGTGCTCAATCATTTAGGGTTTCCCATTAATGTACCGGGCGCTACAGTGGAATTTTCTACTGCAACACTCCACGCCAATACACAGTACACCCGCAACTGTTACAATGAAGGTAATCTCGATAATCAGCTCACGGCATAGGTGTAAGCAGGGGTAACGTGCTATTTTTATAAGTAGGGAGTGGACCTAACATCCTCTAGGGGGGGTCCGGGGGCATGCTCGCCCGGGAAGATTTTTTTTTAAATATTGAAGTTAAAAGCATCCATCTGCTGCACTTTGAGAGCAAAATTAAGAGATCTATGGATACATCTCTCAACACCAATATGAAACAGAACTGTAAATAGATTTACTATTTCTTTATGGATATTTTACAAATCACTCCACTTTTAAACTTTATTCTTTTTTTACTGTCATATAGTATTTCATAACTGTTTTTCATTTATTCTCTTATTTTGTTTGTAACTATAATGATCAACGTGTGCCTCGGAAATGTGTGCCTCGGAAATACGCATATACGTGATCAAAACGTTTGAGACCTGCCCACTAGCTCGCTAGCACGCACACAAAATGGTTCGTTCCACACATACACAGAGCCGAGCTTGAATGAAACACAAAACCATTTTTCCTCCTGGTCTCTCGCCCCCCCCCCCCCCCGCCACTTTGAGAAACACTGCATTAAGTGCACAGATTTGAGTTAATGTTGACTTTGCAAAACTGTGTAAGTTGGCCATATGTAATTATTAACTATCCTGTGTCTTACAGGCATGATGAATTTGCAGGAATACTTCATAAGAATTGGTCTTCAAGGCTCCTTTGATAAACCGGATCTCGAAACACTGAAGCTGATCCACAAACGGCACGTCATGTCCGTTCCTTTTGAAAACCTCAGCATGCACTGTGGCGAGCGGCACATCCTGGACCTGGAGTTCACGTTCAACAAGATAGTGAGGAGCGGCCGGGGGGGCTGGTGCCTCGAGAACAACTCCCTGTTTGGCTGGGTGCTGAGAGAAATGGGTTACGACTAGTGCTGGGGGGAAACGATTATTTTGAAAACGATTAATCGGGCGATTATTTGATCGATTAGTCGACTAATCGAACGATTATTTTTCTGTTGTTCAATTCATAAAAAACGTAATGTAAAAAAAAATTTTTTCACGATACTGTGTCTCAGGGGATCTTAATATTTAAGAACCTATTAATGTGTTATACCAGATTAACGGAAATAATCTCAGCTAACTGACGATACAAACCATGTTTACCAACACAAAACAAAACACAAGTCTCATAAGAAGCAATCTAAAATGCTATCTAAATGACTCCTGAGCGAAAAATGCTAACGGACATTGGCACAGAACTCAAGATAACCCTTATTACTTATCGTAGCTGCACATACAAGATATCCGATTAAAGCTGAGACTCCACAGATTATGTAGGTACATAGTATCATCACTGAGTGATCCGGACTCGCGACAGGGGAAGCAAATACAGTCATCACAACACGTACCTTCACAGAGCTTCTAGGGAGATCGTCTCACCGCCGTAGCTGTCAATCTGATCAAAATACGTGTTCAATGGCATTAAAATGAGAAAAAACGCGGCTGAATCGGTTAATCCATAGGTTTTTAACGTCTATGTATAAACAAATTATTGAATTTATAATCCATAATTCCATTTTTATGTAAAAATCGGAGAGCAAATGCTAGCTGCTAATGGTTGCCACCACAGCTAGCTGCTGCTTCCGGTCAAGCAGCAGTCTCAGTGAGATATAAATATATAAATATCTTTGCGTTTTGGACTAACTTTAAAATATTCCCATGCTTTTGAAGACCTAGGGCGAGATGTTTTCGTTTGAGGGCTTCGTGCGCAATCCTGTGAGGTTTCAGTCTCCATTGTGTTAGAAGTGCGATTGCGAACTGCTTGTTGTTTTGGGTGACCCACGTGTGTGTGGCGGCCATATATACAGTCTATGGTGGCGACGCGTCGACGCGGAAATATGTCGTCGACGATATTTTGAAGTCGACGCGTCGCTACAGCACTAGTTACGACACTACCAGGTTGTCCTCCAGAGTTTTCAACAGTAGCACAAATGCATTTTCCCCCACTGATAGTCATCTCGTCCACAAGGTCGTCGTCGATGGAAAGGCTTATATAGCAGATGTGGCCTTTGGGATGTCTTTCCAGATGTGGGAGCCCATGGAGCTCGTCTCTGGAAAGGATCAGCATCAGGCCGCGGGTGTATTTCGCTTCATAGACAAGGGGGAAAAGTGGGTTCTGGAGAAGACGAGCAGAAAGACCAAGGTTCTCAATCCAGACTTTGCTGATTCTAGTCTTGTGAAGAGGCAGGAGACGAGGACGATATACTGCTTTACCTTGGAGCCTCGAGAAGTTGAGCATTTCTCCGAAGCAAACAACACACTTCAGACAGATCCTAAATCGCTGTTCATGAATAAATCCATCGTCTCTCTGCAAACAGCGGCAGGGTTCAGAGCGCTTATGGGCTGGACCTACAGCGAGGTCACCTTCAAACCAGAGGAAGGTGTCGATGTCTTCGACCTGAGAAACATAGAAGATGAGGAGAAAGAGCAAGTTCTTCTGGAGAAGTTCAATATAAAGCTGCAGAAGAAACTGCAGATTGTAAGCAACAAAACATGGTACACACTCTGAAATAATAATAACAGATTTATTTTGTTAGCGCTTTTACAGGTGCTCAAAGATGCTTTACAGATATAGTGAAGAGAAAAGAACAACAAATAAATATATATAGTTAAAGGTGGGGTAGGTAAGTTTCAGAAACCGGCTCGAGTGCACTAAAATGTGAAAGTACACAGCCGAAAAGAATCCGCCCCTTCCTTCAGACTTCCTTACAGAGCACCTCCTCCAACACACATGAACGCGCACATGACGTCAGCAGACTGGTGAAAGTGGCCGCCTGTTGCTGGCGAGTCATTGAAGTACTGCTGCAATGCACGCCCAATGACGGCAAGAGATACATTTGTGCGTGCACAAGATGGAAGTCTGACAGACAGAAAAAAAGTGTATCTCGAGCCGGTTTCTGAAACTTACCTACCCCACCTTTAAAGTCAAATTTAAAATAGAGCAATACAAAAACAATCACACATTAAAAGCCAGATTGAAGAGGTGAGTTTTTTGAAGGTGGTGAGGTCAGTCTCTGATCTGGTAGTCAAGTTTTCGTGGCTTTATTTTGTTTCCCATAGGGTTTTGGTTTGATTTCTGGTTAGGGGAGGGAAGCTCTGGGTCCTACGGCCCGTGGTGTAGCTGGCTCGGGCCCCCTCCTTTTAGTTTATTTTGGCCAGTCCTCCAGACCTCGTTCGTTTACCGGATGGCATGTGTGAGTAGCGGCTGTACATTAAATAAATGATCACTACTAAGTACTGGTTTTGTTGTTTTCTTTTATGTTGCGGGTCTCCCCACGAGCCACTACCACGGAGTAGGGGGCGGGTCGTAACCGTCGTAACATATATTTTCTACTTTCTTGTTTATTTTTTGTCTTTTAATTTGTATTGTTCAATGCCTTGTCTTTTTATGCTGCTGCAACACAAACATTTTCCAAATTGGCATCAATAAATTACTATCTTATCTTATGTGTGGAATAAACAAATAAATAATAACATTAAAAATAATTTAAAAATATAGTAAATTACAGTATGGCAGTATTTACAATTATGTCATTACTACCTTTTTCTCAGCCCGGTTGTTAGTCTCCTTGTTGGTGTTTTTCTCAGCCCGGTTGTTAGTCTCCTTGTTGGTGTTTTTCTCAGCCCGCTTGTTTATGTTCTGCTTCTCCTTGTTGTTTTGCTCCTTGTTGGTGTGTTTCTCCGGAGCTTTTCCCCCCTTCTCTTGTTTCTGTCCCCCCAGCTGCAGCTCCTCCTTCAGAGCCCTCCGGAGGTGCAGCAGCCGGTACCGGAGCTTCTCATTCTCCGTCCTCAGGCTCTCCAGCTCCGGGGAAACCTTCGCACCAACACCGGCATCCAGACCCTGACTCAGTCCGTCCCGAAGAGAGGATATTTCTCCCGAGAGGAGCCGTATCTGCTCCTCCTGAGCAGCCAAACGTGCGGCCATGCACTCCGCCATCTTTAAATGACCACCCTTTATGGCAGTGCTTCTCAAAGTGTAGTCCGCGGACCACTGGTGGTCCGTGAGCGCCCCCTACTGGTCCGTGAGTATATTGGTAAAATTTCACATTTTAAATAAATACATTTATTTAAGTTTTTCGCACTCTCGCGGGAATATTTCCGCAATGGAACGAGCTTAAGTTTCACTTTCGAATGCATGATATAGCCCAGATAAACACCTTGATCACACATGTGGCCACTTGTTTGTACCATTGTCAGGCGATTTGTAAAAAACGATGTGTTTTTGGATATTTGTGGAGTTAGGTGGTCCGCGAGTGTTTTTTTATTGGTTAAGTGGTCCTTGGTATGAAAAAGTTTGAGAAACACTGCTTTATGGTGACAGCTGACTTCCGGTGACGTTGTTTCAAGATTCAAGCAACGATTTGGACTTGATATTGAATATTCCTGCACATGTTCTAATCTACAAGAAGAGACTATTGGCCATTTATTTTATGAATTGTTGTATAGTATAATATTGTGGTATGGTGTAGAATGTTTTATTAGGGAAAATACGGGACAAAAGGTTCAACTCTCCAGGACAAAGACATTCTTATGTACTTTTGTGCAGTTAATTGTATTTTTAGGGACATTTCATATCCATAAAAAGAAATGAGCTAACTCCAAACCACATTTTGTACATTTCTATCAAGAATGTAAACAATATATTAGCACTATTAAAAACATTAGGAATAAGAAGGCAATCAAAACAAATTAGATATTTAAAAAACATTTAATCTGAAGAATCCAAATGTATTTTTCTTTCTATTTTTCTTTCAAATCAAATCAAATCAAGTTTTATTTATATAGCACATTTATAAACGATTTTTGGTCGAGCCAAAGTCCTGTACATATAATAAAAATAGCCTACAGTAGAGACACTTTACAGCAAATACAACAACACAGATTGTTCAGAATATCAGTAAAAAACGACACCCTCTGTCCTTAGACCCTCACATCGTACAAGGAAACACTTCCAGAGAAAAGCCCACAGTTTAAGGGGAACATGGGAGAAACCTCAGGGAGAGCCACAGAGGAGGGATCCCTCTCCCAGGACGGACAGACGTGCAATAGATGTCGTGTGTAAAACGAAGAGATAATACATTTTACAGGATATAGACCGAATGTTAGGAAATGCATGTGTCTGTAATAAGAAGATGAATCCACGAGGATGTCAGCTCCAATCCTGTGGAAGCCATCAGGGAAGCAGCATGACGAGACCCAAGGCAGGACCGCAGAGACAGGTTCAGCCTTGACCCTTTATTTACTGTATGTAATGTCTTGTTGCTTTGTATGTCTTGTATATCAAATGACAATTGAATAGATTAATAAAAAAATTCAAAAACGATTCAAGATTCAAGGCTTTTATTGTCATTCGTACATAGCTACAGTGTAGTTACGTCGTTGAAAATCTTAGGTCACAGGCTCCTCCAACAGTGCAACACTATAAAAAAAGATAAAATAGTGCAAGTAAATACAATAAAAGTTGTGCCATAAGAGTCTCCATACAAGTGATAAATAATTTGTAAGTTGTACAACCAAGCATGGTTTGTTGTTCATTTTAGTTTCCACATCCCAACCAAAATCAGATAAAACTACCAGCAAATATTACACAACCTAGATGTGAAAGAATAATTCATCTTTTTGGTGGCCTATATATTGTATTACATTTTCGAAATATTTTGTTTTTGTTCACACATTTTTATTTATGTTTTACACTTCCCCTATTGGTTTATGTTAATACATCATTTTCGAAGGTACACAGACTTTTGCATTAAAGTTTATGAAAATAAAAACGAATGTTCTTAATTTTGGGCATTATTCTTAATGGTTATTTTTGTAATTGTTGAAGATTGAGATGCTGTTGATGTGCTGCCTACCCTAACCACTGAGCCACTATATATACATGGTTACTGAGGCATGACCATTTTACTTTTTTCCCTCGGCCCCTTACCAATGGATACAAAATCTATCTCTACCTATCTATGTCTCTATCCCTCTATATATATATATCTCTCTCTCTCTATCTATCTATCTATCTATCTATCTATCTATCATGACGTGAAAACTCACAAAGATAATAAAGGAAAAGAAAACATAAAATGTCCTTCGTTTGTGTGTCTTTCTTAAACTACGTCCCTTTTTTAAATTGTATTTTTTGTAATTGTTATTTTTAATTTGTATTTTGTCATTCCATTTTTTTGAAAAGAGTATTTAAAATGAATTATTTAATTTATTTGTTCTCACTGTTTTCTCCTTTTGTTGTTATTAAAACATTCTTTATTAATCTATTGTATAAAAAAATGATATTCAAATAAAATAAAAAGTTTAAATACAGGAATAAATACATTTCAGAATAAATAAATTATAATTATAATTAGATTTGTCTACTACCAAAAAACGATGTTTATTGTCTGCAGGGCTTATTAAATAATAATTAAAATAATGAAATAAAATAAGAATTAAAATTACAAAAATAACAATTATTTAAAATAATAAATACAAAAATAAAAATAAAATGATAATATAATACAATCGTAAAAACTAACTTGAAAAATAATATATAAAGATATTTAATATTAAAAATGTTTTTTGTATATAAAACTTGAAAATAATATTGAATTAAAAAGTGTTTTGCATAAAACAAAGAAAGTTAAATAACAATTACAGTTTTTTTTGGGACAAAGATTTCTATTTGCTGCTTTAAGAAAGAAACATACCAACCCAGTCTCACAAAAAAACGTGTAATAACTACGTTGGTCCACAACGTAGGACGTAGTATTTCTACAAAAACGCCTCTGAAATTGTAAGATCCCTACGTTTTTTTTTCACCATTCATTCCAATGGCTGGCGTCTATGTCACGTGATCTTCACATTTCTCCCTGCAGAAAAAAAAACATGGCCGAACTTCGTTTTATTCTCGGTGTAAAATGCCTATTTTAAAGTTAGTTTGGCCATTAAAATGCGTTTTGATGTCATTTGATGCGAGAAATATGAGTTTTTATTTCAGATTATGTGTGCAGTGGATGCACGTGATCTTTAGTTTGCTAGTTGTTATGAAGATTACTTCAGGAAATTGTGTCTATACAACGTTTTCATTGTCACCAAGGTGGTTGCTAGGGATGCTGCTATCGATATTATTTCTGTTATACGTTATTTTCCCCTGTGCAATTCTCCATTTACTCAACAATAACACATAATTATCCTTGTGTTTATTTATTTAACTGTCCTGAGAGTGGAGGTCTGCAGGCACAGGCAGGCTCGCATGGTCAGGACCGAGGGTCAGAGCAGCTCATTTGCTTTACAGAATATTACACGCGGAAGTAAGTATTCTCTCCGCTTCGCTTGACAAACCCCGTGATAGTCCTCAAGCTCTGTGATTGGAGAGTGTGCCGAGCGTCGAACAGCACTTGAAATGGGATGGAACCACGGCAGACTGTCCAAAACTGGATTTGAACGGGTCCACCCCGTCCCCCCCTCCCCCACCCCGTCCCCAGAACTACACATGCTGGCTATTGTGTTTCGCAACCTTCGCAACATGCTCTATGGCACTCCTCTACTGGGAGTTGTAGTTTTAAAAGACGTTTTCGTATTTCCCATAATAAGAAGTGGCCAGTATTAAACTGTGTCCATCCCTG